CGAGACTCTGTCTCAAAAAAACAAACAAAAAATAAATAAATAAAAAACATCTGAAAACTAGTGGGGCATGGGGCGGGCACCTGTAATTCTAGCTACTCAGGAGGCTGAGGCACAAGAAATCACTCGAACCTGGGAGGTGGAGGTTGCAGTGAGCCGAAATCACGCCACTGCACTCCAGCCTGAGCGACAGAGGGATACTCTGTCTCAAAAAAAGAAACGTAAGCTGCTGACTACCTGACAATTGGGCCAGGTGCTGGGGTTAGTCCCCAGGGAGCTGGCTGTGAAAAACTCAACAATATGCTTTAGGTCTTGGCAGTATCATCAAGGGCTCTCATTTGCTGCGTACTCACTGGAAGCCAGACCTCGGGCTAGGTGTGTATTGAATTCTTGCAATAGCTGCAGCATGGCTCCAACACAATCAGAGAGGTGAAGTGACCTGTCCAAGCTACACCACTAGTAAGCACTCAAACCAGGATTTCTCCAAGACTGAAGACACAACTGTCTTGCTTCCCAGAATTCTTGGCTCTCCTAACTCACATCAATTACAATCAAGATCTTTTTTTTTTGTTTTTTTTTTCTGAGACAGGGTCTCGCTCTGTTGCCCAGGTTGGACTGCAGTAAAGTGATCACTGCCCACCGCAGCCTCAACCTCCCAGGCCCAAGCCATCCTCCCCTGAGTAGCTGGGACTATAGGCATACACCACCATACCTGGCTAATTTTTAAATTTTTTTGTAGAGACGGGGTCTCTGTATGTTACCCAAGCTGGTCTTGAACCACTGGGATCAAGAGACCCTCCTGCCTCAGCCTCCCAAAGTGTTGGGATTACAGGCCTGAGCCACAGCACCCAGCCTCATTGAGGTTCTTAGGAGTTAACAGCCCCAGTGTCCAGAATTCCAAATCCTGGCACCAACCTCTTCCTCCTCTGTGCTCCCAGGAAAGGGTGGTGCTGCCCCTATCTCATGACACTAGGTTTACCTTCTAGAACCTTCTAGCATAGTACAGATTTCCCAAAGACCAGGTGTCTCCCAAGGTAGGAAAAAATCTTCCCTCACGAAGGAAGCTGGCAAAATTGTTTCAGGCTCTCCTTGGGGAATTATGGTTTTCTTTCTTTTTTTTCTTTTTTTTTTTTTTTTCCTGAGAGGGAGTCTCGCGCTGTCGCCCAGGCTGGAGTGCAGTGGCCGGATCTCAGCTCACTGCAAGCTCCGCCTCCCGGGTTTGCGCCATTCTCCTGCCTCAGTCTCCTGAGTAGCTGGGACTACAGGCGCGTGCCACCTCGCCCGGCTAGTTTTTTGTATTTTTTAGTAGAGACGGGGTTTCACTGTGTTAGCCAGGATGGTCTCGATCTC